GAAAGTTTTTACTCAAAAATATCTGACACCTGAAAGTATTTTAAATGCAAATTTGCTCTGAAATTTAAAATCATGACAATTTTGTCTCTTATAGTAAAAAAAAAAACTCATATTGACCATCAAAATAACAAGATTTATTGTTAATATTTTCAATAATAAAGAGTAAAAATACTATAATTTTATACTCACAAAAATTTCGAGATGTCCAACATTTCTAGATGAAAACTTTTAAAATAAATTTACACCTCAACAAATGAAAAGAAAAAAAAACCCGAATTATGTCACCGCTTCTTGCCATTGCTGTCACGGTCCAGTTACTGAATCGCCATCTGTTTATTCACCCTCGCGCCATATTCAGCTTAGCTCATGGCACTTCCACTTCGGATGACGCATTGCTTGGTGTAAATATCAAACATGCCCTAATGCCAGTCTGTGCGCTCTTCTAGTCCTTTTTGGTGAATATATATGGACTTCTGTCTTGGGCTATACATACAGACCCAAGCTCCAGCCCATCAAGGCCCATGGGCCTCTTTATGGAAAGGAAGCCCTGCAGAATGCTACGGGCCTTCAATACCCTTTCATTACACACAATTTTCCATCGCATCTCTATAGTTGGGAATGCATTAGCTCCAAGCAGAGAAGCTTACCAACAACAACGGATGCTGAAGGATAAGGAACTGAAGGAAAAATTACACATGGAGAAATATTTACAGTGAGATATTTTGATTCCTCACAAAATCCAAGTATCCCACCAAGAGATGAAAACAGGTGGGGAGGTGCAGCTGGAGCTTACGAAAATAAGGAACTGAAGGAACATACTGAACTGTGGAAATGCAATTGCAGCTTTTTATTGGTAAGGAGCGAAGGGAAAAAAAAAAAAAACTGCTCCTTCAATTCAAGCACAGTCTTCACCCGTTTTGATTTTGATTGATCTGCGTGTGTAATTTTTCACTGCGTGTCATATAATTTACTGTACATAATAACGTCGCGTTACGGATGACTCGGAGGCGGAGCAAAATGACAAGAAAGAAGAAAACAGGAGAAGGTGGTGGGTGATTAAAGAGATGTTTGGTAATCACAAAAAATATTTTTAAAAAGTATTTTTATACAGGTTAAGATAAAATTACTCTTATATATTTTTTTCTTATTTCATAAAATTATTTTAAAAAATATAATTTGGTTTTCTTCCCAGTACTCTTTAAGAAAGAAAGAGGAGAGGGGGACCCATGTAGAAGTGTTTGGCTGCTTATTTTCCTCGGCTTTCTACAAGATGAGCCTTGGAGCCGCCTCTTCCTTCCTCTTCTTTTTCTCTGTTTTTTACTTCCATTCAATTCCCTTACCAAGTCCCAGATGCGTCGAAACAGATTCCAAAAATTAGAACGGGAGAAAGAAAATAATGCTACATCCGCTGTTTAATATAACGACTAATTAACTAATGTAAATAGATTAAAAAAACTAGTTAAGTGAGTTGTTTATAATAAGTAGGTTATGTTTTTATTAAAATATCTTTGGTAATTACTGCAAGTGGATGGATGAAGCTGAAGATGGTGAATCCGAAATCTTGAGGTGGTCAATCTGGAGATTCTCGACCTCACGCTTCTTGATATCACCATAGATTCTGTTGGCATAGAATTTGCCCCAGTTGTATTCTCTGTATCTCGCAGGGTTCTCCTTGTTCACAAGCCCCACCAATCAATGTCCTGCCCCGTCTCTGTTCATCAGGACTAAGCTGGAACGGGCCTATCCTAGTCCCGTCTCATAAATAGCCCTGGCTGTCATGGTCTAGTTACTGAATCGCCATCTATTGATTCTCCCCCGAGCCACATTCAGCTTAGCTCATGGCACTTCCCCTTCGGATGACGCATTGCTCGGTGTAACTATCACGCAGGCCTAAGGCCAGTCTGCGTGCTTTTCTAGTCCGTTTCGGGGAACACTTATGGACTTTTGTCTTGGGCTGTATGTGTAGACCCAAGGCCTTAGCCCATCAAGGCCCATGGGCCTCTTTATGGAAAGGAATCCCTACAGCATGCTACTGACCTTTGATCCCCTTTTCATGGCACCCAATTTTCCATCGCATCTCTCTGTATGTGTTCACTCCAAATAAAGAAGCCTACCAACAGCACAAGCTGAGTCTCGTAAAAGGAAATTGATTTTTCTTCGTTAAGAATAAGAATTTAGCAGATGAATTACACAGTGAAAAATTACACATGGAGAAAAATTTAGAGCAAAATATTTTTATTCTTCACAAAATCCCTCTATCCCACCAAGAACCGACAGAACAAAGATGAAAATAGATGGAGAAGTGATGCTGGAGCTTACGAAAATAAGGAACTGAAGGAACACAGTGAATTGTGGTAATGCAATTGCAGCTTTTTATTGGTGAGGAACGAAGGGGGAAAAAAATCTGTTCCTTGAATTCAAGCACAGTCTTCCCCCATTTTGATTTTGATTGATGTGCGTGTGTAATTTTTCATTTTCACTGGGTACCGTATAATTTACATTACATAATAACGCTGCGTCACGGATGATTCTGAGGAGGAGGAAAATGACAAGAAGAAAACAGGGGAAGGCGGTGGGTGATTAAGAAAGAAACAGGGGAGGGGGGCCCCATGAAGAAGTGTCTGTGTCTGGCAGCTTTATTTTGCTTCGCGGCAGTCCGCTAACATGGGCATTCCCACGTTGAGACTATTTTGCGTTTGTTTTTATTTTTCTGCATTTGTTTGGCGTCTTGTGGGGGTTGTCCTTTTGGCTGGAATTTTGTCCACGTGAGGCAGCCAAACTTTTCATAGCAAAAATTGCAATTCCTATAAAAAAATAACTATTAAAAAATCTTACTAACAATCGAAAAATTGTTGTTTCATATAGTTGAACTTTATTATTATAGGTTATTCTATTGTTAATGAGATTTTTTAGTGATTATATTGATTTTTTAAGACTTTATGGTAATTATCTATGTTTATATTTATCTATTCAATTATATTATTTATAAATCATAGTTAAAATTTAAAGATTTATTAATATTATTAAATAAAATTTGGAAATTCATTTGTGTTTTTTTAAATATGGCTAATCTAATTAGGTTATATTTGAGGCAGTCTAATTAGTATAGTTGTCTTTTTAAATATCTTTTTCCCATTCGTGTGGCGAGTTGTACGCACCTATTGCTAACTTTATCAAACTTTGATGTTAAATTAGTACCCCAAAAAAAAAGTTTATTTTTATAGTTGGTTCAGTGGGCGTTGAGAGCGGCGGAGGCAGGGGATTCACTCACTTCCTTGGCTTTCTGGAAGATAAACCTTGGAGCCGTCTCTTCCTTCCTCTTCTTTTTCTCCGCTTCTTACTCCCGTTCAATTCCCTTATCAAGTCGCAGATGCGTCCACACAGATTTCAAAAATTAGAAAGGGAGAAAGAAAATAATACTATCTTTTGTCCTAATTATAAGAACCAATTGATTAATTTGAAGAGATTAAAAAAATAAGTTAAGATAGTTATTTATAATAAATATATATTGTTTTTTCTAAAATATCCTTATTAATCAATTGTGTTGGTTAAAATTACCATTATTAAAGGTGTGGACTGGATTAGATGGAACCTCACCCATGAGGCAGGACGCCAGTTTACTAAGCGAATACCTTGGAAGACACTCTTTGGATACATATGTTGGGACATCTGGACATCTCGATGTGGTAGAATGTTTAGTGATCGAGAATTCAGTAACAGGAGAGATGCAAATGACAGCTTCTTTAGAGCTTGTTTGGATTACAATTTAGCAAGCAAATGTGAAGTTTACAGGGTGGAGTCTACTCCGAGGCAAGTGATGGAGGCTACCGATGTTTCTTTTGTTAAGCTAGAAGTGGATGGTTCGGTTCTCAGGAATGGGCTCAGCGGCTGTGGAGGAGTACTCAAAGACTATTCAGATAACTGGATATGTGGTTTTTGTGCTAAGCTTACAAATGTACCTCCAACCATTGCGGAACTAATGGGGATACTGCACGGATTGAATTTAGGTTGGACTAGAGGTCATCGAAAGATTCTTATTTACTCAGACAGCATGGAGGCTATCAATTTGGCGACTCGGGGATGTGAAGGAAGTTACCATTTTAAAGATTTAGTTGATGATGTCAGGTTTACTATTAATAGAGACTGGTGTGTTGTCTTTTGTCATGTAGGAAGGGAATCGATCCCTCTTGCTGATTCTTTAGCTAAGTACGCCCATAGGATTGACGAAATTTTCTGCCTGTTTGATCACCTCCCTCCCGACTTATCTGAGACGGATGGGGAGTAGTCTGTAGGGGCTGTTTTTGTTTTTTGCGTTGTTTTCTGTAGTTCCTTCCTGTTGTCCTTTTTTATTCAAAAAAAAATACCATTATTAAAAGAACTATCTTAAAAAAATACATAAATACTAGAGATAAAGTGGATTAGGCTCTTATATTTAGGACAAAAATAAAAGTCAAACAAGGTTTTATATTAAGAACCGGAGATAACACTTACTCTAATCCTTAATATAAAAACTGATTTGACTTCTATTTTGATCCTAAAAAGATTTCAATTTATTTTATTTTTTATATTTATTTATTTATTTAAAATAATCCTTATAATAATACTACCCCCAGTTCTAATTATAGGAGCTAGTTGACTAATTTGAAGAGATTAAGAAAATAAGTTAAGTTAGTTATTTTTAATAAATAAGTGTTGTTTTTCCTAAAATATCCTTGTTAATCAAGTGTATTGGCTAGAACTACCATTGTTAGAAGGACTATATTGAAAAAAAAATATATAAATATGAGAGATAAAGTGGATTAAAATATTATATTTAGGATCAAAATAAAAATCAAACAAGATTTTATATTAAAAACCGAAGGTATTATTAGTTATAACTAATACACTTCGTTAGAAAGTATATTTTATGAAAGACAATATTTATTGATTATAAATAACTAGTTTAATTTATTTTTTTTAACCTATTTAAATTAGTTAAGGGTTGAACTGGTGCTTGCGAGTTGGGAGTTGGAATGTGACCGAAAATAAGAGATTTATTAGTACCATTTGGGGATGATAATACATGGACATAAACTAGATAGAGTTTCCAAAGCAGCCGATTTATCGATCATATGCGGCCATTATTACTGCAAGTGGATGGATGAAGCTGAAGACGGCTAATCCGAAATCTTGAAGTGATAAATCTGGAGATTCTCGACCTCACGCTTCTTGAAATCACCATAGATTCTGTTGGCATAAAACTTGCCCCATTTGTATTCTCTGTATCTCGCGGGGTTCTGCTCGTTCACAAGCTCCTCCAATGGCTTAACCATTACATTGGGAGCTGGGAAGAAGAAGAACGGAATCGAAATCCTCTCCTTCTCGCCGTTCACTACCGCCCTGTGCTCCACACTCTCATACTTATCATTGCTCCAAACCTGCACATGCAATTACGCCCATATCACTAAACAAAGAACAGATATGAAATAGATTACATGTCGATCTTTTCTGACACAATTAACTAACATGTACCTGAAGAAGGTCGGCGACATTGACGACAATGGCTTGAGGGAATGGTTTAACAGGAATCCACTCACCGTCTGATTTTCTCTTAACCTCAAGTCCGACAACATCGTTTTGGGCGAGCAGAGTCAACGCACCAGAATCCTTGTGCCTCCCAACTCCCAGAGCCAAGTGAGGAAATGGGCATGGAGGATAGTAATTGAGTCGCAATACGCTCAATTGTTTCTCCTGGAAATATCCATGGAATCTCTGAGCTGGTAAGCCCAAGCTCAGCGCAACTAGCTCCAGTAACTTGTATGCCACCCTCTCTATTTCCCGACCATACTGTTCCACTGTCTCCCTGTATAGGCAAGTATATGTTTTTATTAAGAAAATGAAAATCTGTGTAAAGTTTTCTCAGATGCTGCTGAAATTACCTGAATTCAGGTGGGTATTGGGGCAATCGGTTGGTGATCGTCTTCGTTTCCGGGTCATGGAGATCAGGAGAAACTGGAAATTCCAAAGAGTTTTTAAGAAGATAATCGTACACTTCTTTCCAGTCCCTGACGTTCTTAGTGTGCTCGCCGTCGTAGTACCCAAGTGGGTTCACTTCGTCTCTCTTGACTTTCTTCTTCTCCTCCATGCTCTGATCGAAGAATTTCTTGGCACAGGTCTCGATCTTCCTGTGTAATTCCACGGGCACGCCGTGATTGATGATTTGGAAGAATCCCCAGGCCTCGCACGCACTGCCCACCTGAGATACCAGCTCTTCGACGTTGCCGAGGGAGAGATCGATTACGGGGATTTCGCCGGCGACGGCGTCGGCATCCACCTTTTCAAGGTTGGGACGGTGTTCTGGGGATTGTACATAGGCTGGATCGATATCTCCCATGTCTCACAGATCTCTTGCCCCTCTTTCAACAAATTGAATCTATATCCCCATATATCATGGCAGTGGTGAAAACAGGGTTCATGTTTTGGCCAGCGAGGAGCGCAAATTTTGTTTGCTCCCCCGTTGTGAACCTGGTCGTATAAAGCACTGAAGTGCATTTTTTTAGCAAGCCTGGGCGGATTGAGTCCGGTGAGGGTCAGTACATGTTTTTAGTAGAACACTAGAACATGCTAGATTAATTTAAATAAATTCAAAAAATTTATTAAGTTAATTATTTATAATAAATAGGTGTTATTTTTTTAAAACATCTTTACCAATAATATGTATCAGCAATAACCATCATTTAGTAAAACTTTTAATATATACAACTATTACTAAAATAAATAAATAAATATAAAAAATAAAATAGATTTAAATTTTATATTTAATTGAATTAAAAATCAATCTAACTTCTGTGTTAATAGTAAAAACACTTAAGAGGTGCTTTGAACCCATGATTTTGTTAACTATGAGTTAACTGTTTACCAACTCAATTAATCTTCCTGAGCCTAAGTGCATCTTTTATCTGGAAGTTGACTGTCCTTTGTTAGGGTTAAGAAAAAATGCTGACAAAAAGCGCCGACCTGCGACGCCGCCCATTTTGGAGGTGTCCAACTTGAGTTTTTTTTTTAATATAATTGTAAATGTAAATTTGTAAATATTTTTAGAGCAAGAGAAAAATTCAATACAGTCCAAAAGTTAAATTTTTATAATGAAAAAATTTAAATAATTTTAAATTGAAAAAATATAAAATAGAAGTTTAACAGCATATATTCTAAATCATTAGAAAGACCTAATTTAATTTTTGTAATGTACTCTGTGGCAAAATTTAGTGAAAATCATGTGATATCAAATGGGCGAAATAGATTCCATGGATGGCTCCGCCCCTCCCGTGATCTGACAAGTGACAAGCATATAAAAATTGTGCGGCTCACCTAGCCACGTCGGACGTGGCGGTTGGCAACTACGTGCGACTTCCATCGCCCCAGGTCTTTTAAGTTTTGATTTTAAAGAGTTATTTATAATATATTTAATGTTTGTTTTTTAATTTTACTTTTATTCAATTGTTTGAAAGGGAAGGGTAACGGAGAGATGTGATTATGGGGGTGTTTGGATAAACCCAAACCATGGTTTGGAGAATAGTTTATGGAGAATAGCTTCTGGGAAGAATAGATTTTGAAAGAATAGATTTTCTGAAAAAGTGATTCTGATCAAGTGAGAGTGTTTGGATAGTTGTTGTTAGAAATGCTTTTTTATATGTAGAAATTACTAAAAAGGACATAAATTTAAATGATAATTACATATAAAATATATTTCATAATACTCCTCCGGTTCTTAATATAAGACCCATTTAACTAATTTGATTAGATTAAGAAAGTTAGGTAAATTAGTTAATTATAAGAAAAGTGACACATTTTTCCTAAAATACCATAATCATCTTTTTTAATACCCCTTCTCCCTCTTCTATTTGATTATGGTTGAGGGAGTATCTATAAGGGTAATTTAGAGAAAATTGATAAATATGAGAAATGAGTCTTTTATTTAGGACCAAAACCAACTCAAGAATTGGGTCTTATATTAAGGACCGGAGGAGTATATGTTTATTTGAAGTAATAAATTTTTTAATAATATATATTTTGGTAACATAATAAATAAGACATAAATAATATAAATCATAAATAATTAATGTGTATATATATTTATAAATAATTACAATATTTTTAGGAAAATGATTTATTTTGCTAATAAAAAAATATTATTATTTATTAAAGATTTTAAACATGAATATTATTTTGCCAATAAAAATATTATTATTTATTAAAGTACTCCCAAGCTTCGAGCTTTCCCTACTTCCTTCCTTATCCCCTTCTGTTCATCTTTCCTATCTTTACAGCTTTGTTGCACTCTGTGCTTGTCTGTTTCTTCTGATTTCTTGCAGTGAAGTCCCTCTATTTGATAAACAACAAAAAACAAAGTCACTCTGTCTCCTTCGTTGAACCCTCACAGCATACTGCTAGCAATGATAATGGACTACACACCGCCTCCGTTTGACGACGGCTTCACTGCCGAGAAGCTCTTCTGCCAAGGTTACTCCTACACTTATGACGACATCATTTTCCTCCCTCACTACATTGACTTCCTTACTGATGCCGTTCAGCTTGCTACCAGAGTCAGTCATAATGTGCCTCTAAATATCCCCCGTGTCGCTTCTCCGATGGACACCGTCTCTGAAGCTCACATGGCCGTCGCCATGGCTACCTTTGGTGGTATTGCTTTTATCCACTCTAATACGACGCCGTCCGATCAGGCTGCCATGGAACGTTCCGCTAAGTCGCGCCGAGTGCCGATTCTCTCCAGCCCTGTCTTCAAACCACCCTATGGGAGGATTGAGTCGTTGGATGATTTTGGCGACTCACCGACGGCACAGCACGAATGGGAGAAGAGGCGACGGCACAGGAGAAGAGAAATGAGAGAAGAGGCCTTCGTTAAGCTTAGAATGGGAGAAGAGGTGCTTTTTCATCGTTGGGAGCTACTGACAGGAGTAATAATTAATCCAGCGACTTTGTTACTCCTCAAAAGCGACCCGCGTGAGGCTTAAGCCCAAACCATGGTTTGCCTGCTCAAAACCAAGGTTTTGTTGGAAACCAAGGTTTTTTAAAAAAAGTTGGTGTTTGGCAATCAGCCTCCCCAAACCATGGTTTGGGGTCCAGAAGCACTTCTGGGACAATTGCCAAACACCCCCATATGTAAATATGGAGATGGTTAATTGGCGGTACCCACCGAGGAAATGTCGAATGCCCAGTTGGAGGAGTTTTTCCCGTCTCCCTAAGCTACGAACTGATCCTGAGGGCATGTTTAGAAAACCATAAAAATATTTTTAAAAGCTTTTTTTTTGTTAAATTGATACAAACTCCTACGTATGTTTATTTTGCATATCATAAAATTATTTTTGAAATCATAATTTTATTTTTATCCAAACACTTTCTAAGAGAGAGAGAGCATGAGCTTTTAGTGGGACAGAGGGAGAACGCGAGCACTTATATCTGTGAAGCTTCTTTAATGCCACGTCACTCTCTCGCATCATTTAATTGTTAACCGTGCTTGGAAGAGATGAGCATCAAATTTTAGTGGTATGAATTTAATAATTTGTTTTTATTTTATAAGTTAACATTTTTATAATAATTTTATATAAAAAATCAAATATTAATCTAAATTTTTTTTTAAAAAAAAGGAGATGAGAGATCCTCCCCCTGTTTGTTCCTAATCAACTTCTCGAATAATCAAACTCTGTGTTTTGAACGAGAGACAATTTTATTCAGCCAACAAACTCGGAGAGGAAGCCTCGAAGCCCAAGACACTAAAACAAACAAAACAACAACACCAGAAACAACAAAAAGGCCCAAAACACGCCTTTCCAAATTTCGGCTTCATGGTGAGAGCACAGCACCATTTCTAAATAGATTTCTTAAATTAGAAAAAGATAAGGAAAATAATCCCGGGGTTGATAATACCCGACGCAGACACAGGATATATGGATGGATGGTGGTGAAGATGGCTAATCCAAAGCCTTGAAGTGGTGAATCTGGAGATTCTCGACCTCGCGCTTCTTGAACTCACCGTAGGCTCTGTGGGCATAGAACTTACCCCAGTTGAATTCCCTGTACCTTGCAGGGTCCTGCTCGTCCACAAGCTCCTCCAATGGCTTTATCATTACATGCAGAGCTGGGAAGAAGAAGAACGGAATTGATATCCTTTCCTTCTCGCTGTTCACCACCGCCCTGTGCTCCACGCTCTCATACTTATCATTGCTCCAAACCTGCACAAATCCCCCGACACGACCATGAACAAACAAAGACACGTACTTTTGCTCTTATCAAGTTATCTATCTATGATGATGATATACCTGAAGAAGGTCGCCGACATTAACCACTAGGGCATGTGGGACTGGTTTCACAGGAATCCACTCGCCGTCAGATTTTCTCTTTACCTCAAGTCCGATAACATCGTCCTGGGCCAGCAGAGTGAGAGCACCAGAATCCTTGTGCCTCCCAACTCCGAGAGCCAAGTGAGGGCAAGGACATGGAGGATAGTAATTGAGCCGGAGGATGCTCACTTGTTTCTCCTGGAAGTATCCATGGAATCTCTGAGCTGGTAAGCCCAAGCTTAACGCAATGAGCTCCATTAACTTGTATGATACCTTCTCCACTTCACGTCCATACTCTTCCAATGTCTCCCTGCCATAGACATGCAATTTCATATTTTTATTAAGAATGGAAATCTTTCCGTAATGTTTTTCTCAAATGCTGCTGAAATTACCTGAATTCAGGTGGGTACTGGGGCCATCGATTGGTGATTGTCTTCATTTCCTGGTCCTTTGGGTCAGGAGAAACTGGGAATTGCAATGAGTTCTTAAGAAGAAAACCATACGTTTCTTTCCAGTCCCTGACGTTCTTAGTATGCTCGCTGTCGTGGTACCCCAACGGGTTCACTTCGTCTCGTTTGACTTTGATCTTCTCCTCCTTGCTTTGACAGAAGAACTTCCTCGTACAGACGTCGAGCTTCCTCTGCAATTCGACGGGCACACCGTAGTTGATGATTTGGAAGAACCCCCATGCCTTGCATGCACTGCCCACCTGAGAGACCAGCTCTGCCAGGTTCCCATGGGAGAGATCGATGACGGGGATTTCGCCGGCGACGGTGTCGGCGTCCACCGTTTCAGGCTTGGGACGATGGTCTGGGGATTGTAGGAAGGCTGGATCAATGGCTGGGTGAATGTCTCCCATGTCTGATAGATTCCCTGCCCTTCCCCTCAAAACGCTGAATCTATATATCATGCCAGGAAGTGGAAAACTGAAAATGTTATCAACGTGATTTATAAATTCTAAGGTCCACTTAAAATTGAAATTGTTTGTGCGTGGGCTGGCAGGCGCTTCTCGCCAAATGTTCAGTGGGACCACTCACACTGAGCCATTCGTACCACTTTAATAATTTGTGTTAGCAGTATATGGCTGGGAATCGGTTGATGCTATGTGCCCGTTAGTGATCCGTCATTTTTTTGTCCGTAAATAAATAAGAAAAAAAAATTCAACGTTAAATATTAAAAATATAGTAATGTCATCAGCTCGGTCAACTATTATATTATTATGCCACGTGTTATGCCACAGCATCATTCTTATTGGGAAAACAAAGAAACCTCTCCTCCTTTATGGTCATTCCCATCCATAACAATTAGCAACTTTTTTTAGTACTTGTTTGGAATCATAACAGCATTATTAAGAAGCTGTTCTTTTAATAATGATTTATGAAATATGAAATAAATTTGTGGAAAATATTTTATCACAACTTACTCGATCATAAGTAGTTATATAAGGATTTTCTAACAAGGATTAACCTGTTTTTTTTGGGGGGGGGGTCCTGTCCCTTCAATTGACGACTGTGCTATGGCCCCCTGACTCATCCGTGCAGATTTAATAATGTGGAACAGCAACAGTAGGGTGTTGGCGAGAAAAAAGACAGCCGAAGGGAGAAATTACTGCGTGCAGTGGAATTACCTTCTCATTGGTGCTCTCCCCAGTTAAAGTAGCCAGCTCATGTAATTTTTGGGGAAGAATGAAAAAAAGAAAGAAAGAAAAGAAAAGAACCTGAAGATTGTTAAATCTTAAATCAAGTTTGTTTTTCAAAGTTTAATAGGTTTTAACTACACCTAATTTGTAAATAACAACATATTTTTATGAAAAATTTTAATCTGAGATTTAGTATTTTTTATGTTCTACTTCTGCCATTCTCCCTAAATTCAGCATCAACGTTGGGAGTGGGATTGCAGATATAATCATTTTGGGAACGAAATGAATGTTTGTGGGACCCACGATTTATTATTTCTGTGATCGTGTTGGGATTGGGATCAGACAACGTGCGCAAAAAAGGTGAGGCTCATGTAGTGTTATTATCCCAAATTTTCTTTCACAGTTGGGAGAGGAAAATAATTTCTCAAAACTTGTCCCTGTTCTCACTCACCACACACTGTCGGACCATCCTTTTCCTGCTTTTGATTATATTTTGAGCACGAAAATGCCATCAGAAACTACCTGATTTTCTAATCTCTCTGTTACATCAATACTATTTTCATATAAATTATAATTATAATACTTATAGTTAAAAATTAAAAATAAAATAAAAAGAGCTTGGGTTTTCTTAAAGAAAACTAGATTTTAGTTTTAACTTGTTATTATTTTTATCTTAACTTTTTTTTTTATTATTGTTTTAGTTTGTGAGGTGCTACATTTTGCCAGCACCCACGGACCATCCGGTTCCAACCACACAACACAGATTTGCCGTGTGGCTGGTGTGCGCCTCAAAAATTAAAAGGAAAGGGAAAAAGAACCAGAGATACAAGGAGAACGGTTCGAAAACAAATTATCAAGTGTATACATTTCTTCCTGCTTCATTTTCAGGCGTAGAAGTGATCCGAATGGGGTTCAATCAACAACGTCACACTTCGAAAAATCAAACCTGGTTGCGTAGTGTCATGTCATGTTCCTTCTACTTCTAAAATTTGACTATTTACACTAAAATCTGATGTGCGAGAAGAGTAGGATAATAGATAAAAGCATGGTTGCGTTCAAGCAGCAGCGTTCATAGAACTTGAAAAGACAACATGGGATAAGAATTGCAGCCCATCCTGGACTTTCTCTACTGCCATTTTTTGATCGGAGTGAAGATGTTCGGAGAGGGCACCCGCTTTTTCCTGAATTGAAGTCCCCGGATGAACTTCGTGAGACTCAGCAATAGCACTTTTAATGGCTGCTTGATATGCCTCAGTTACGTCAGATATTCCTGTTAAGACATTAACATAACTTGTAACTACCGCTTGTAAATTAAATCCTGATAATACTATATGGAATGACAAACAAGAAGTATTTAGGTGAGTGCTATTAGATTCTTCAATAAATATGTATATATGTGAGGACAAAAAAAATCTCTTCTGGTGGGGATGCCAAGATCTCAGTACTGTAGGCATCATTATTTGGAAATTTACACTGACACCTAACTGGAATGCCATCAATATGATTACAATCCGGGGTGCACGTGATAGACAACTAACCTGTAATAAAACTGTTGGAAACTGCTTCCACATATCCTATCATTGTTTGGGCATTTACTCTGATCATCTTAGCTTTTTCAAGGACATCCTCAGGCCACTCAATGTTCAACTTCTGCTCATCATCGTCTTCATCCTTGGCTTTGTTAGCAGCAGATATGATGGATTTGCCGATGATCAACAGTTGAGACACCGCAAAACAGCACATTTCTGATAGTCTCTGCAAAGAAAAGCAAACTGTCTCGCTCGAATTTCCAACAAACTTCAGAAGTTGAAATAAGGAATTTTAAAGATAACAGAACTTATTCATAATATTACAGTAAATTGAAATATATTTTCTCATACATGAACACCCTCTGAATGAAGAGATTCTAATCTTCTGGCAGTTTTGTGAATGATATCATTGACAGTTAGTCCACCCAAGGTGCTTGTAAATCTGCAAAACAATTATAGGAAGACCAGTTAGAGCATGTAACATAATGAAGACCTCACATTCAATTCAGCTTCGTTTTCTAGTTTGTTCATACTCGTGTGTCTAATATCCTACATATTGAAATGCAAATTTGAGCACATTAGAAATGGAACAGATTTAATTCTCTGGTACATCGTAACAGTGATGGGTGATAAAAGTACAAATAATCAAGGAGGGAAGGGGTTAGATACCCCGCAGCCATTTCAGCAGCATTGCGGACACTTGCGTCATGTAAATTCTTCATCTCATCACTGCTCCCCTCATTTCCTTTTTCTACTTTCTTTCCTTTGCTTAAATCAACATTGATTCCATCATTTTCAGCACTCAGATTAAAAATTTGTTGGACCTCTTTAAGCTTCCCATCGTATAAAGATTTTTGTTCCAGTGATAACTTTGTTTTCCTTCGGTTGAATAACAGGGCATAATGACTAGACAATGCCTCCAGTTCCTGGCAGTATCACACACATATTAAATGTTTCGCTAAAGACACAATATCAACAATGATAATTTAGTATTGTGACAAGGTTACCTCCAACTGCTCTGGACCTCCGTATATGTAAAAGCATCGATCAAATGTCATTTCCTCTAATGATTGATCGTCATCTTTTTGTTCTTCAGCTTCTTTATCAGCCCTCTCAACCTCAATTCCAGTTTCAGTAATTAGCAAGTCCATTGTCTCCTTACCAACATATTCTAGTACTTGCATTCCCTTTGCAGTAAAAGCTTTACCACTCTGTCACATGACACATGATGGCAAAAAGTAAGCTCATAATTTTAAAGCAGTGAATATCATACGAAAAATGACCAAAAGTTTTACAAACCTCTAATAGGGATGGCACACCAGAACCAGCCGTTGCTGGTGCAACTTGCTGCACAGAACCTGCAAGATTTGCAGCTGACCTGAAGAACATAAATATCTATTATTTTTAGTATTTTAGTTTAATGGCCCAATAGACACAACAATCTGCCATATGGTAAGAAACAACTGTCTTCCTTTCCAACACCAACAAAGCATACTTTTAACTTTTAACACGTTAGTGACACCTATCAAAGAAAATGAGAGACAGAATTCTCGTGAACTCTGAACTCGTAGGAAAGCAGATAAATACACTGACATAAAATAAACAATAAATAGCTTTTCTCACTCAACAAAATAAGCCAGAATATGTTTAAGACCTATTAATTAAACATTGATCTAACAACATTTAGGATCAAGTTTTAAACTCGCTAATTTTGTTAGGTGGCTTCAAAGGCAACTGCAGAGCAAAATTAGTCATTCAACATAGACTGAAATCTGTACTCCGCAAATAATAAATGCAACTAAATAAAAGCATAGACATGAAGGACTCCGCTTTTGGGAATCCAAATCAGCAAAGAATACAGTGACCATTGACTGCACCAAGTTGTAGTTTGTACACCTTCACCAGCACAACTCGAATGTTTTTCACAGGAATTAATAATACCTTTGAACTAAATCACTGCCCTCTTTCCATGCACTTCCTAAAGCAGTCCATGCTCCTGATGTAAAATTCTCCACGGAATTATCAAACACCTTCAAACCCTGCAAACATTATGGAGTTATGCTTAAAGCAAAGAAAATAGTAGTGAGAATTTGCAGGCACAATAACAAAATTACAAAGGTATGTTTTGCAGCTATTTCAATTGTTCAACTACATCAAATCATCAGGTCTCTTCATTTTTTTCCGAACAATATGGCCTACAATTTGTCACAATTCTAAGGTAATAGAATAAGTCCTCACAAGGAGAGAGAAAGTGGGAGATGCATAAGAGGATAGATTCAAGGCTTATTTCAAGCAATAATTTCACGGGCAACTAACTTGGTAGAAAATATATAAATCCAAAATTCAAGCAGAAGGGATTGCAAACTGTAGATTTCACATTCACTAATTTGCTTTTGTATGAAATCCACTAAAGATATACCATGCCGACATCAATGGGGAAAAATCAAAGCGTCCCTTTATGCCCTACCTGGCTAAGAATTGAGTCATCACTAGCTTTCTCCAATTTTTCCAGAGCAGATTGTCGTAGTTTGTCATTCTCATCTTCACTTTCCCTTTTAGTTAAAGCTACGTCTTCCCCTTCCGTCTCTTTAGAAGATTCTAAATCTTCAGAAGTGTTTTGCATCTCAGCAATGGTCTTGGATGCTGTCTGAGCAACTGCAGCAGCCTGTGTGGTAAAATGATATTGAAAAGAATACTAAATTCCAAATTGAGTT